CAGCAAACACATGGTGTGAGCAGCCTGCACACGAGTGCAGCTAATTAAGAAAAAATATTTTTGAGTGAAAATTATATTGCATTGAACCAGAGATATACAGAATACTCAAGGATACAAATACTGCCGCAGTCACAAATAACATAACAGAGACAGTGAAGCCTATCTTCCAAAACTGCTCAAGACACTAGCAAAAATCAATGGCTTAATGGAGACAGAATATTCTCTTCTTCTGCTTGCACAAGTAATTGCACGTGCATGTAAATACACAATTGATTTTGCATGTGGACTTTGTCCTCTTAAAAAAAAATTGCATTAGTAACAGCACTGGCCTTTAAAGTGATTACTTAAGATAGATAGTTATTTATTGGGAGTGAACTTTGGTGCAAGTTTCATTGTTAGTACTATTCCCTTACTACTGAACAGATATTTAATATTACTTGCCTAATTATTTTACTGAGTCTTAATAAATGTGTACAATGTAGCTCTGATATATGAAATATTTATTTTTTTCTAAAACAAAGGGTAACGTAACTTAATAAAGTGGCATGATTGGTTTTGAGGTCTATTAAATATTGTTTATATACAGTGCATGCTTGTGTATTGTCATTTTGGGCTCAATCCTGTTGTCCATACTCAAGAATATCTGCCCTAGACTGCAGTGGGGTTTTGCTGAAGGAAAGATTAAAATGATAAATGCTTGCGTAGCATGAGCGCTTCTTTGGGTAGAACTGCTGCTTTGGCAGTGGGATCCACCTTAAAGAAGCACACTTAATGAAAGCTAGTCTTTAGTATTATCACAAAATGCAGGTATCATGGCTAATAATCTTTTCTCTAATGATATATTGTAATTTTATAAACTTTTCCATCTACTGTAAATAGTGTTAGGCACTTTTAAAGAAAGAAAAGACCTATGTTTTATTAGCAATAGGTTTGTATAAATCCCAGAAATTCCTCAGCCAAAAAAAAAGGTTTTTCTAACATCCCTAAATTAATATCTGCAGTCTCTTTAATGAGGAAGAAGAGTCTGAGTTTGATCGCATGAGAGAAGGGGGTTTGGATTTATTTACTTATTGGGTAAGTTCCTACGGGCTGTTGTCTAAGAATGTGGGGATAGTTGCTAGGTTTAATTGATTATTTGTTGTTAGCATATATCAGAAGCACCAATAATTCTTTAGATAAGCTCTTATTTTTCTATATTTTGTTTTAATAACTAAAATTAATCTATATATTTCATATTCAAAACAAGAGAGAGACCTAATTAGCCACTCCTTTTCCTCCTTCTGTTTTTTTTTAAACACCTATTCTTAATCCAAGTGCTGATCTCCTCTTTGCATTTTAACAACGAAGTGATGGTTGGATATACATAGTAAATGAGATATACAGCTGGGTGTTGTCAGTGTATTGTTGCAGTGAGGCTTTTGTTATCTCCTAGATATTGAAGAGCAAGGTGGGCAGGATAAGTCTGTGTTAGAGGTGAGGGGTGTGGAGGAAGAGGTCCTGAGGTCCTATTGGGGGAAAAACAATTGTACACACTATCATGTTGAACAATTTAAGGGCTAGATCTTGTGCCTGGATCCATTTTTCATAACATCATTATAGTGATATGGTAGTTAAGATTGCATCACAACTTCTGTTTAATGGACATTTCTAAGTCCTCTAAAATCGTCATGCTTAGACAATTCCTTTCAAATCTGGTATGCCTCAGAAAGGTCTAGCATAGGGATAGGGTCCCAGATTTGGGGTCATTTGACCTGGGGTCATGGAGATATACGCCCTGGAAAAAAATGTCCATCTTTCAAAAATTTTCTAGGTGGGATTTTTGTGCAGAGCTTGAGATCAAACTATTGATGTGATGCAGGTCAAAATCATGTCAGTCTATTGAGTTTTACCCAAGGTAGTGCATGGCATCCACTAAATCTTTGCGGGACCCAAACTGACTATGGTATTTAAGAAAATGTACTTTTTTATGGTGCATATGCGCCAATACCGGGGAAAAAAATAGCTGGAGGAATTCCGTTCCCACCATTTTGTATGCTTTAAAGCTCAACTCTAAAGCTCTAAAATCTGAATGGTTGCTCTTCAGCATAGGAGCTGGGATATGGGGCCTTGTTCCTCTGGAGTGTCTTAGCCACGGTCACTGCCTCCTGTGTGTGTGCCAGGATCTGGAAGGCGTTTGCCCATCTACAGAGGTTGGACCCCCACTTCTTATCCCCCTCAGGAGTGAAATGGGAACATACGCTTTGGGCTTGTCTGCACTTAAAATGCTACCGCGGCAGTGCTGCAGCTGTGCTGCCATAGTGTTTCAGTGTAGACGCTACCTATGCCAGGAGGAGAGGTTCTCCTATCTGTATAGGTAGTCCACCTCCCTGAAAGGCAATAGCTGGGTCCACAGAACAATTCTTAACTACATCACTCAGGGCTGTGGATTTTTCACATTGCTGAGCAATATAACTGGGTTGACCTAATTTTCTAGTGTAGAACTGCTCAGAGATTAATGGAGCGGTTAACATGTCTCAGACCATTTGTTTAAGGTTATATTCATCTCCATGGAGTGTTTTCATTTGGCTGAGGACACCCCATTGAGAT